CTGTGGAGTGTTTTAGGAAGGCTAGTGGAGACCTGAAGCCCCGGCCTTCTTGTTCTGAGCCCACCTCTACTGTGTAGACCTGCCTGTAATCCCCAACCTTACTTGAACCACTGATTTTTCTTTGATTAAAATTGGCTGATTCTAGACTAAGCCAATTACTTACTTTGGGATCTTGGGATACCAGGCTTTTGCGTTTGTGGTCTGTAGAGAAAATGTGAGTTTCCCAGGTAACAATTAGGAAAAGTACAGGGCTAATCTCACTAAGACACCGACCCATTTCAAATGCAGTTACAATCTCCTTCCTGGTGGTCTAGTGGTTAGGATTCAGCGCTCTCAAATGCAGTTACTTCCCTTAGTAAGGGAGTCAGGGGACTATTGGAGCCGGTTATCAATATCTCCTGGCTTATTTTGTTTCTTTCCAGTCAGTTTCACTGAGGTAAGGGGTGACTATGAAAGCAAGAGTGCCCTGTCTTTGCTGCAGAGGCCACAGGGAGAGAGATTTAGGAGGATGTATTGACGTCATGGACAGTGGCAGCTACGAGGAAGAGAGGAGAGAAAAGTGGGCCTCATCTGGAGGCATCATAAAAGCCCTAAAAAAGAGTATGGGAATGGGGAGGCAGCTTGGGCTGGAGCCAATAGCCCTGAGGTTAGCAGCAGATATGTCTTGGAGTGGGGATTTGAATAATAATTGTGTGAGCACTCATGAGGTCCTTGGAAACCTGGCATCGCTCAGGGTCCGTGTTCTCTGCTGTTGTTAGTGCTCTGCCAACACTTCAAGGCATTCTCCCCATCCCCGCCTCCAACATCACTCCTCACCTGCATTTTCCTCTTCACTGTGTCGAAGGGAAAGGAGAGGGTCTGGGTCACTGCAGCAGCCAAGGAGACATTGGCAAAGTTCTGGAGGAGAGAGAAACGATCTCGGGGTCCATTCCAGATTTTCTCCAGGTTCATGTAAACTAGAAGGGAGCCGGCAGAGAAAGGGAGAACACCTGCAAAACAAGGCCAGGAGCAGGGTGCTGAGGTCTTGGGAAACATTGGCTTGAGAACATAAATGCCTGTGCGGAATCCAGGGCAAGTAAACAGGACTGGCTCTGGGCTTGTTAAAATCACTCCAACCAAAGCAGTGGAAGGAACTTTCTTGGGTGATGATAATATGCTCTCTTAATAGGGGTTGTGTCATTTGTCAAAATACATCAGATGGTTCACAAAAGGTTTGCGTACTTTATGTAAATTTTAATTTAGTTCATAATACACGAGTCTAGGGTTGAGGGGTGAAGTGTATTGATGTTTGCAACTTACATGGAAATCATCAAAAACATATATAAGATGGACTAATAAATGGCTACAGGGATGGATAGATGGATATGTGATAAAGCAAAATGTTAATTGTAGCATCTAGATGGTGGGTATATGGATGTTTCCAATTCTTTTAACTTTTCTGGGCGTTTGAAATTTAAAAAACTAAAATGTTAGAAAAAAGTTATTCTCAGAGAAAAAGTGGGCAGCACTTAATCAACTTTTGGAAGCTAGGAGGGACTGGTCTCTAGCTGAGAAGAAAACAATTCTGTGGAAACTGGAAAGTGAGACTGTTGTGATGAGGGAGGTTACTTGACCTTGACTTTGGAAATGATGTGGCCATATCAGGGTTCAGTAGGCATCCTGCACTGTATGGCATCCTCACTTTTCTAGGAAAATATGGAGAGCAAGGAGTGCAATAGGTGGCACTTTCACAGACTTCCCAGAAACTTTGGAAACCATCTTAATTTTACAGAGGAACTAAATTTCTCCCTCAAAAAGGGATTTAAAAGAGGAGCTAAAACAAGTGGGGCTGTTGGTCCTTAGAATAATGTAATATTTATATTTAACAAATACATTACAAATCATGTACCAACCCCCCATTTAACTTTGTTCAGCAAACATTTGTGGAGCTTATGCTATGTGCTGGGCCCTAGGCCAGGTGCTGGAATACAAAGAAGAGGCTAATTCCTAGAGAAACTCACCGTCTAGTGGAGATACAGCTGTGATAGGTGCCATAAGGTGGCGGTGGGGGAGGGGGGGCTATACAAAGTGCTTTAGGTACACAAGGATCAGAGGGGTTAATTGTGCCTGGGTGAATCAGGAAGGATTTCACAGAAAAGAGTACTTCTCAACTGGGTCTTGAGGAATGAGTAGTTCATCAGACATAGAGTGGACAGGCAGTCCAGGCAGAGGGAACAGTGTGTACAAAGAAAGAAGTATTTCCAGGAAAGTAGTATTTCTGTATGGCTGGAGCATGAGTGCAGGTGGAGGCTTGACAGGAGAGAAGGTAGGATGGGCAGTTCTGAAGGATCTGGTAGGCCATAAAGAGTTTGTGCTTTTCCCTGTAGCTCAGGAGGCAGTGAGGGCTTTTAAGCAGAGCAGTGGAACGAGGGTGGTGAAACGATCAACTTGCATTTAGATTAGAGAGATCACCACACCCTGGCAGCAGTGCACCCAAGACCAGGAGCAGGTAGGAGCCTCTTTTTTCTTTAAATATTAATTTTTATATTTTTATTTTTTTCAATTATAGTTGACAATACAATATTATATTTCTTTCAGGTATACAACACAGTGAGCCACACAACCCATGAATTGATCCCTCGATAAATCCAGTACCCATTTGACACCGGGCATAGTTATTACAATACTACTGACTATATTCCCCACATTATACTCCACATCCCCATGACTACCCTGTAACTACCAAGCTGTACCTCTCAATTCCCTCCCCACTTCACTCGTCTCCCCACCCCCAATCTGACACCATCCAAATGCTGTCTGTATATATGAACTTGTTTCTGTTGTTTGTTTATCCTGTTCTCTAGGTTCCACATATGATATTTGTTTTTCTCTAACTTACTCCCTCCACTCAGCACTACACCCTCTAGGTCCATCCATGTTGTTGCAGATGGCAAGATTTCATTCTTTTTTATGGCTCAGTAATATTCCATTTTATATATGTACCACCTCTTCTTTATCCATTCATCCACTGATGGACACCCAGGTGTCCTCCATATCTTGGCTATTGTAAATAAAGCTGCAATGAGCATATGGATTCACACATCCCTTCAAAGTAGTGTTTTGAGTTTCTTCAAATAAATACCCAGAAGTGGGATTACTAGGTCCTTCTTTGTCTCTTGTTATAGGTCTTTGTTTTAAAGTCTATTTTGTCTTGTATAAATATTGGTAGGAGCCTCTTGTAAGTGTCTGTGGGAAAGATGGTTATGAGAGCATGACCTAGGGCAGAGGAGATGGGGATGGAGAAGGCAGATAGACTTGAGAGTTCAAAGAGGTCAACTTGACAGCACTTGGTGACTAAAATGGGAGTGGAGTGAGAGGAGTTGAAGTGAGTTTAGGTTTCTTCTGACTTGGGTCCCTGGGTGAAAGGAAGGTGGTGTCATTCATTAGAGAACACAGGAGGAGAGCAGGTGTGAGACTAATGAGGGCATCAGGCTTAGTCTTGAGTTTGAAGCACCAACGGAGCATCAGGTGAGGGTGTCTAACTGCCCCTGAGTGTTCGTACTGCCACTGGAAATTGGTAACAGTCAGTGGTTAAGAGAGAGGGTTCTGAGGTTATATTGCTATGTTCTTCCACTTTCTGTCCATGTGACCATGTGCAAGTCACTTAGCTTCCCTAATTATCTATTTACTCATCTGTAAAATGAGGCTTAAGTGAGAAACTGTAGGCAAAACATTTAGCACAGTGCCTGGCACATAATAAGCACCAATAAATGTTATTATAGAGATGATACTGGGGACCATTAGAGTATAATGATGCTTGTTTAAGCCGCTAGCTTAGATGAGACCATCCAGGGAGAGTATGGAGGGTAAAAAGAAAGTTAAAGAAGGAACTGGGGTAACAGCAATATGTAGGGGACTGACATGTCAAATGAGCCGCATGAGTCAGATAAGAAAGAGCTGCCGGAGAGGTAGGAAAGACATCCAGGACACAGTGGGGTCCTAGAAGCCAAGTTTCAAGAAGGGGTGATCAATCTCATCAAATGTTGCAACAAAGGCAACATAAAGGGCAAAAGTCTATTGGATTGGCCATTGGGGGTCTCGGGTGACCTGTGTGTGTATAGTCCTGGCACAGGCTCCAAAGACCACATAAGCTACAGCTGCTCCCCTGGTTGTGTGCATACGTTTATGTATGCACACTGAAACTCCTTCCCACGGTCAGGTGGGGAGTGTGTGGGATTGTCTTTCTATCAATTTGTGCAGAGCCACCTCCACGCTCTGTCCTCCCCTCTGTGGGGTGTGAAAGGGAAAAGTTAGGAGTGGGGTGTATGGTTATGGAATAGAATGAAGCTAATTAACTCTATATGGACTGGATTCATATGACCTTGACCTCAATAAAATGGATTTAACTGGTTACAAATGTATATAATGCATTCATATATGTCAAAGAATGCAGCCTTTTCTGGACAAGGTGAAAAGTTCTATCTTACCTAAAACAGTAAGGGAAACCCCTCGATAAAGGGCCAAGAATCCTTCCTGTTGATAAATAGTACAAAAAGCATGGAGGATCCCTCTGTAAGATGGTTCCAGTATGTTCTGCACAATCAAGCGGGTTTTGATGAGGTCTGTAGGATACATCACAATGGTGGAAACCATGCCTGCAAGATTCCCAGCCATGATGGCGCTCCACTGGGAAATATGGCCCAGGTCATCCATGAAGAGTACGACAAACCTAGAGGAAAAGGGGGAAAAGCCCAAGGGAATCAGCTATAGATTGTGCTAAAGGACTCTACACTACTTACGTTTTCCAGTATTTAAGTGTTTTACAAAGTGAAAATGACCACATTAATGTATTAGGGTTAATGAAAAACACATTCAATTCAACTGTATTTATATAATTATAGTTAGCTATAAGAGATGTCCAACCCTCTTACTTATAGCTACCCTAATTCCTTCTCACTTCACTTTAAGCATTTTCCCCTTTTATCTGCATAACTGCCAACCCTGCCTTGTCAGTGGGATGTAAATTCACAGAAATACTTGGTAAATACCAAACTGCAATGTGTTTCTTTGCCTCTGTCAAAACTTAAAAGAAATGAAACTGCTTGAAATGATTTTGAATATCCCCAGTAGTTGAGTTTTAAAAATACATTGGCTTAATAATTATAAGAGAAGGTACGCCACCCCACTAGTTTTCAGGGAAATGACAAATAAAAACAAAAACAAGATACCATTTCTCTCCTAGCAGATTGGCAAAGATTAAAATGTCTGTTAATACTGAGTGATGGTGAGGATGAGTGGAAATAGGAACTCTCACCCACCGCTGATAGAAGTGTAAATTGGTACAGCCACTTTGTAGTATCTAGTAAAATTGAAAGCATGCCTACTTTCACCCCAGCAATTCCATTTCTAAGTGCATATCCTAGAGAAATTTTTGCACATGGACACATGAATACACATATAGCATTGTGTGTAAGTGTGAAAAAGTGGAACCACCCAAAAGTCCATTAGTAGGGGAATGGATAAATAGTAGTATAGTCATGTAATGGACACTATACAGTTAAGATGAATGAGCTTAGAACTATGTAATAACAGGGACAGGTCATAAAGTTGAGTGAAGAAAGCAAGCTGCAGAGTGACCTCTATAGTCTGTGACAACAATCTATTTAAATTAAGAAATACAACCACAAAACTATATCTTATATTATTCACGGATAGATATAGATACATATAAAAATAGTGTAAAATGGACCTCCAGGAAGGTAGAGGAGAAGATAGATTGAGAAAGAATAAAGAGGACTACAGGCTTGCTTGCTAACATTTTTTTCTTGTATTAAAAAAGATACTTGAAGTATCTTTTATACTAATTATGGTGCTATCAATTCTGGATGATGGATGTTTGCTAGATGATTATTTGTGTTTCTCTGCAGTTTTACAATGTAGTCAAAAATGGCTTTCAGTGGACTTTTCCAAACACAAAATAGAAAGCCGCTCTGCTACAATCTCTCTTTTTGGAAACCGTGCATCCCAAGTAATGAGGGTCTACCTGGGCAGATATTGTTATAAGGGGACTTTTACACAACACACATTCCTTGGTCAGGAAGCAAAGGAATTTTACTCCTTGCTGATGAGGATACAAAAAAAAAAGGGCTTGGAAACCAGGAAAAGTAATTTTTCTGCCATAGAGTGGGGAGAGAGAGGAGAGGGATAGTAGGGTTTGAATAAAAGGAAATTGAACAGAGCTAGGCTAAAATGAAGTATTGTATCTTTTGAAAAATGAGAGCGTCCTCAGTTCTTTGGCTTTCAAGCCTCCAATGAAGAGGTGCCTTTCCTGCTCCTTCAGTTTGGTAGCAAACCAGGGTCCTCTGGTGTGATAAATAAGATAAGTGGGTGTTCAGGTGCAATCACTTAAGGAGTTCTAGGATGGCTCCTTGCTCCCAAGTAAACACTTATTGACAAAAAAATCTCCTTCAAGCTGTAGGAAAATCTTGACTTCTTTTCATTAATGTACCTTAACTGTACCAACTGAAACAATTATTTAAGTTAACCAGCTACCTTTTAAAGATGCAGATAGCTAAAGCTGGCATTAACCAATAGGCCATTTGCCTCAGTTCCACTGCCTGCACACTTACTTGTTCCTCCTTCCTCTCCCCAATGGCCAGCCAACTTGGAAGGGAACCTTAGAAGGGGAAAGGGAGACAGAAGAAATGGAAATGCTTGACTGGAGTAGCAGTCTGCAGCAAGCTGGAACAAGCTAGAAGATGGGGTTTGAAATGCCAAAGGAAACACCATTCATTTGCATTGCCTCACCCTTATTCCCTATGTCCCACTTGGCCACTTCCAGGGCATTAATTAATTCGTTACCCATTTACTGAACATCTACAATGTGCCAGACACTGTGCTAGCACTCAGCATAGATTATAAGAGAGTTCAACAGCCCTGCTTAAGAAATGACTGATAAAGGCAACATGAGAGGAAATAGACCCTTAGTTGAGTGAATGACTTGATGAACTAGGAAGAGGAACCTTGTCTTATATCAGATTGCCTTATATAGTTGGGTCTTACTATCAAATACACAAAATTAAAAAGAACCAAAAGAAGTCCCTTCTTCTCAGACTCGCACTATTTGATACAGAGACAATGACCACCAATAGTTACTTAGAATCACAGAGTCAAGGCAGGCAACTCTGGTCGGCCATCAGTGACATCATCCTGGTCCCCACATCTTAAGCTCTTGTCTGACTGGCCAGGGCAGCAGTGTTCCCCTTTCTGCTCTTTCCCCCACCCCCACACACATGCACAGTAGCTTTTCCCAGTGAGACTGGTTAAGCTAGTCAATAGCGGTAACCCCTTCTTTTTGGCCACACAAATATTACACCCTGGATATACGTAGTTAGAACTGCCAACGCTTCAATCTAACATAGATTAGCAGCCAAACACAAGCTCATGAACTGGTTATACAATAAGACGTCAGTGTTGGTTATGAACAACTTCAGAACTGCAGGGACCCAGACCAATGTTTATACAGCTAGACAAGCAATTGTGAAGTAAAGCTAGGTGAGAGTCTATTTTATTTTATTATTATTATTTTATGCCTACAGCACCTGGACTTCCTAGGTGGTCTCCCAACCAAGTACTAACCAGGCCCGACCCTGCTTAGCTTCCAAGATCAGACATCGGGCTTGTTCAGGGTGGCATGGCCGTAGACCATGGACCGTGACTTCACTGGGGCATGAACCCAGGACCTTCTGCATGTAAAGCAGACGTGCTAACTGCTACACTATAGAACCACGACTGAGAGTCTATTTTTTTGACGTATTTGAAAGCCATCCATTGTGTTAGGTATTAGTTAATTACAAGGACCTAGCTCCTAATACTCTCCTGATTGTAAACTCAAGTAAGCAGACATTTCAGCATCACAATGGTGAGCAGAGCTCTGAACTATGGAGCCAGAAGATGTGGTTTCAAGCTTCAACTCTGCCATTAATTGTGTTTGTGGACAAGTCATTTAACCACTCCATTCCCTGAACATTCAAGATCTTTATAATTTGCTCAAACCCATGATCACAGGCTGTACCATTACCTCCAGCCAACTATTTTGCACATTCGTAGTCAGGAAAGAGTAGAGATGAATCAGTGTAATGATGGACCAAAGCATTGTCTTTATGTAGAAAGGATGCCACCATGATTAATCAACCACTTTGCTTTTTATCTATGCCTAGCCATTCACTGAAATGCTTCATTTTGTTTCCAGAAAGAAAATGATCTTGCAGGAAAAAACAAAAACAAAAACAAAAAACTATTAGCAAACCTAGCCCTCCCTGGTAACTACCTATTCTTCCTCTCCCACGCAACAAATCTCCAATCCCATTGTCACCAGCCTATTTCGGGTGCCCTCAGCTGTCAAGTGGACTAGTGCAACAGGTTCCTAAGTGGTCCTTCCCTGACCCTCTGCCCATCTTCCTCTTCTCTTGTCATCCTACCCTGCCTCCAGGTGACAATGATTCCTGTTGAAATGCTTTAATCACAGCACTCCCCCCCCCCCAAAAAAAATCTCCCACAGCTACTTTTGCATACCAAGTAAGGTCCAAACTCATTAACTCGGCCCTCTAAGATCTGATTCCAACCTGCTTTTCTGGCTGTATTTCTCATTACTGATGTGGACACACCTTATGCTCCAGTCAGGCTGCATGCCTTCCCACCCCTGTGTTTTCGCTCATGACATTACCTGCAATATCTTTCTCCCCATCTTTACCTAGCAAACTCCTACTCATTCTCTTAAGACCAAACTCAGATGCCTTTTTTTTTTTCCTGTGTGAAGTCTTTACATCTCTTCCTCCTCATCCCCCATCAAAAGTGTTTATTTCTATAGCACTTCAATCACGGCAATCATATGCTATGGACGGACACACTAGTTTTATTCTTCTATTACCCTAAGCTGTGGGGCACAGGGACCATGCCCCTTTCATCCTTGCCTCATCCCCAGCATCATGCACACAGTGGGTACTTAATGAAACCTTACTAAATTAATGTCAAATGAAGACAGAGAGAAAGGCAACATGATGTAATAAAGTATGGAATTTGAAGTCAGAAGGCCAGGTAGTGGAGTTCAGCTCTGTCACTGAGTGGTATGGCCGGTCTGAGTCAAATGCTACATCTGTAAAATGGGCTTATTTCCTACACTATGGGCCTTACAGGGCAGGAGGCAGGAGCTGTAAAAATTCAATGATGTGCGCACACACACACACACACGTGCAAAAACACACAATAACTATTTAGAGGTGACAGATGTGTTAATTAGCTTGATTGTGGTGATCACTTCACAGTGTATACGTATACCAAAACATCAAGTTGTACATCTTAAATATATATAATTTTTGTTAATGATATCTCAATAAAGCTGTTAAATCCAACGATGTGTATATATTAGGTGGTTGGCAAAAAGAGTCACAACACTTAAAACAGCCTTTAAAGTTCTGCCTTCCTCCCCTGGGTACACATTCCAAAGGGAGATCTCCATACCACTTTGTAGAAAAGAGAGTGAAGTGGGGAGAAGCCGAGTCATTAAAACTCAGATAACTGTTTATAGACTGCAGGCGAGAAGTTGCTGAGGGCAAGGGGGTGCAGGGGGGAAAAGAGATCCTTGACAGAAATGCCTGGTGATCTCACTACCTTTCCTCCCCAGAGGAACACAAGGTTATTCTACTCCCAGGCAAAAGTGAAATGAGCATTGATCTGAAAGACTCAGTGATAAGGACGATTCCCTGCTTTTAGCTGCCAGGTCTAGCCTTCCAGAGAGCCAAAGGCAAAATCCTTTGACTATTAGCCTCCAAGGTTGAACAATGTGGTTAAGACTGTGGGCCGTTTGTCTAATTCAGAGCCAAAGGCAGTCTTCAGAGCTGGTACCGTGCCCCCCAATTAGGAACACAGGGACCATCCCCCCAAACATAGAAACATCTCCTTTTCCTGAAAACCCATCACTACCATTTCATTCTTTTAGGCTTTATTTCCAGCTAAAATACAAATATCTGTGAGCTCTGAGGAAGCTTGAAGACTCACTTGACATTATCCTTTCCTAAGAAACAGCTGTTGTGAGAGGTGGGACAAGCCCAAAGAATGAGGCCAGTGGGCAGCAAAGGTGGAGTGAGCAGTAGGCTGAGGAAACTGTGTACAGCATAGGGGTGGGAATCTGCAGTCTCTGTTGGACCCTAAAAGCAAGCTTCATTTAGGGGCGTGTATGTGTGTGCAGAAACCTGTGGCCTTTTGTGCCAGTGAGTTGGACCCCGTGCCCCTGGCAAACAGTTTATTCTGGGGGCG